CATTAAAAATCAGTTTGTGAATATATGAATTAATGGGATTAATTTTTGTAAAAGTGAGTTAGATTTCAACTAAAGTCTTCTTATATGAGTATAGCTACATTTTTGAATTTGCCCTTCTATCTTTATTATTGACACCTTTGCATTTAAAAACAAAACGTTGAGGAGAAGGGATTATTCTAAAGTTCTTTGAAACTATTATCAGGAACTCCTCCCCACCGTGATGTAACTCTCATTCCTAACAGACAATACCAGAAAACAAATCCTTTTAACATTTTATTTTGTAAAAAACATTTCAGTTCAGTTCAGTCCTGTCTGACTCTTTGCGACCCCATGGACTGCACCACAACAGGCTTCCTTGTCCATCACCAATTCCCAGAGCTTGCTTAAACTCATGTCCATTGAGTCAGTGATGCCATCCAACCATCTCATCTACTGTCGTCCCCTTCTCCTCCTGCCTTCAATCTTTCCCAGCAACAGGGTCTTTTCTAAGGAGTCAGTTCTTTGCATCAGGTGGCCAGAGTTACTGGAGCTTCAGCTTCAGCATCACTTCTTTCAATGAACATTCAGGGTTGATTTCCTTTAGGAGGAATGCCCTGGTGGCTCAGATGATAAAGCATCTGCCGACAATGCAGGAGACCCAGGTTCAATCCCTAGGTTGGGAAGATTCCCTGGAGAAGGAAATGGCAACCCACTCCAGTACTCTTGCTTGGAGAAGTCCCATGGATGGAGGAGCCTGGTAGGCTACAGTCCATGGGGCCGCAAAGAGTGGACATGACTGAGCGACTTCACTTTCTTTCTTTCTTTTCCTTTAGGATGGACTGGTTCAATTTCCTTGCTGTCCAAGGGACTCCAAGAGTCTTCTCCAACAACAGTTCAAAACCATCAATTCTTGATCTTAATTTCTACATCCCATGAATGGTCACTTTAATTTCTCATATTTATGCACAGTTACAAATGTCACTTTCCTATAGATACATTCATTATTGCTTGCTCAAAGTCAGAGGTTTCTGAAGAGTCATTTGCCAACACTCAAAACCAACTTCTTTTTTTTCTCAAATTATTTACTGCACTATCTCCTTATCTATTGCTAAACATTCTCTCTAACACACACATATTACCAGTTGTAATATATTTATATGAGTAGAGCAGGATACCCTTTTTAGGAGCTACACTAAATAGAAAACTAAACAGTACCTGGAAACTACTTTTTGTGTCCTTAAAATCTATGTAAATGACCAAGGAATTCATGGATAACAGACCTAAAATTAATCATCAAATTATTCCAAAAATATATAGCAAGACAAGATGGCAAAATGGTTTAATTTATAGAAAGCTTGAAAGAATGTAATACTTTTAAAAATTTGACAAATGAGATCATTACATAGAAACAACCTCAGCTTGTTATAGGAAAGCTTGGCCTGTGAATACCTATGCCAAATCAAATCCCAGAGACAGAGTTTTGGGTGAAGCAGAAAAGGATAACTTTATTGCCTTGCTAGGCAAAGGGAGACATACCAGGCTTCTGCCTGAATAAACTATGTGCCTAAACCCCAGAGGATTTGATGAAGGTTTTTTATAACATTGGATCAAAGGTGGGGTCTGACAAAATTAGGGTGTGAGCAAGGCTTGTACTAATCTAACCTCCTCTCAGCTAGTCTGTCTCCTAATCTTGATGAGCTTCTCCGGTCCCTTTAATCTTACCTAGGTGGCTTTTGGCTATTCCTCCCTTGATTAGCAACTATTTGAATCAGCCCTTTGAAACTCAGGGAACATGAGGCTGGCTTCATGCCTACAAGAAATGGAAGCACAGAAAAGCCTCCATCCTGGGGAGCAGTCCCCAACCTTTTCAGTGCTAGGGGCAGTTTCATGGCAGACAGTTTTTCATGGACTTGGGAGGGGGCATGGTGCAGGCGGTAAGGTGAGGGATGGGATGGGCAGACGACCTTTGCTTGCTCACCCGCTGCCTCCTGCAGCGTGGCCTGGCTCCTTCCAGCCCATGGACTGGTTCCGTCCACGCCTCAGGGTTGGGGACCACTGCTCTGATTCCTCTGAGGTCTGGGGAGGACCTGGGGTTAGCTATGCAAGGTTAAGGCAGAAGGTGCTTTTTGGTTCTGGGACCAGAGGACGGGGCTTCAGCAGGAGACCCAGCTGAGCAGATAACCAGAGTGTGTGATGAGTGTGGGTAATGTGGGCTGTAACCTTGAGAAAACTGCACGGCCTGCAGTTCTCCTGACTTGAACTGGGTCGAATCAGTTCTCCCTGATTTGAACTGGGAATCAAAGTGGGGTCTCCTAACCAACTGAGCTATCAGGGAAGCCCTGTTTTGATGCTACTAGACTGAAAATCCCAAGAGGGTAGGGAAAATACTTTTTATTATTCCCACTATCTTATACATGCTTTGAACATAGAATACTATAAAAGTGTGGTGAATGAATGAGTAAATAAGTGAATGAATGAAAGAGTGAATATAAACAATATTATTCTGGCATTAACAAAGTTTTCCAAAATGTAGCTAACATAATAGGGCTGAAAATAATAAAGCATAATGTCAACAAAAGGAAGTAATAAATTTATTTCCAGATTGATAGGCCAAGGAAATTCCATTATTTTGAAATTTGAAATGATTATATATACTATAATTTTATTCTACAGGTTTGATTTTGAGATTTCCTCAGGGATGGGCTTCCCTGATAGCTCAGTAAATAAAGAATCTGCCTGCAATGCAGGCGACCCCAGTTCTATTCCTGGGGTGGGAAGATCCACTGGAAAAGGGATAGGCTACCCACTCCAGTGTTCTTGGACTTCCCCGGTAGCTCAGCTGGTAAAGAATCTACCTGCAATGTGGGAGATCTGGGTTCAATCCCTGAGTTGGGAAGATCCCCTGGAGAAGGGAAAGGTAACCACTCCAGTATTCTGGCCTGGAGAATTCCATGGGGTTGCAAAGAGTCTGACACGACTGAGCGACTTTCAGGGATGGCAAATATATATTATGGAAGATAATGTTCCTAGTGGTAAGAAAATGGAAAACAGTACTTAGAAGGAGACAGTCAGGATTTTTATTTTTTAAGTTTTTATTGGAGTATAAATTTACAGTGTTGATTTGGAGTATTGGAGTATTGATTTACAGTGTCATGTAATTAAGTTTCAGGTACACAGCGAAGTGAATTGGTTATGCATATATCCACTCTTTTTTACATTCTTTCCCCATATAGGTCATTACAGAATACTGGGTAGATTTCCCTGTGCTATCCAGTAGGTCCTTTTTAGGTGTCTATTTTATATATAGTAGTGTGTGTATGTTGATCCCAATAGCCCACTTTATCCCACAGATACACTTACCCCTGGTAACCATAGTTTTGTTTTCTATATCTATAACTCTATTTCTGTTTTGGAGACAAGTTAATTTGTACCCCTTTTTTAGATTCCACATATAAGTGATATATGATATTTGTCTTCCTTCAGACAGTCAGGATTTAAATAGGCATATATACAAAATCACTTACTGGGACTTTCTTGGTGGNGAGAGTCCCTTGGACTGCAAAGAGATCCAACCAGTCAATTTTAAAGAGAATCAGTTCTGAATATTCATTGAAAGGACTGATGCTGAAGCTCCAACACTTTGACCATCTCATGCGAACAACTGATTCCTTGGAAAAGACCCTGATGCTGGGAAAGATTGAAGGCAAAAGGAGAAGAGGGTAGCAGAGAATGAGATGGTTAGATATCATCACTGACTCAAAGGAAGGAATTTGAGCAAACTCTAGGAGATAGTGATGGATAGGGAAGCTTGGTGTATTGCAGTCCATGGGATCAGAAAGAGTTGGAGATGGCTTAGCGACAGAATACCAACATAACCTTGGGATAAATGTGACTGAAATGTAAAAAAATTACACAATTTGTAATGTGTTAAATACCATGAAACTGGAGGTTCACTTCTTACATATATTTCAGGCAAGTGAAAATCTCTCAAACAAGTTAGAGGACAGGCTAATTTTCTCTAACAAACACCCCCAAACTTAAATGAATCGGAGTGTGTACTTCCCAGGTTCTCTTCCTGTCACCTTTTCTTTGATTTGTCGCTAGTGACTAAGAATTCAAGACTATGTTAAATATAGTTACTGTTATTAGATAATGAAAAGTGCAGAAAAATGTGATTTTTTTAACCCCACTTCTACTACTGATGTAAGTATGATTTTGGTCAAATTTCTTCATATCTCTTTGATTACAAAAAATTTTTTTTCTTTCCTTTTTAAATTTGACTACATTTCATGGCACTTCAGACCTTAGTTCCCCAACCGGGGATCCAAACACAGCCCCTGCATTGAAAGGTGGGGTCTCAACTACTAGGGAAGTCCCTTGTTTATTGTATGTTTAATAGAACATTTTTTAAGCATTTTATCTAAGTTTCGGTCCCTTTAATAGGATTTAATTTCCAGTCACCTAAAACAGTGGTCTTTTAGACTATGGAAACTTTCAAACTTTGGAGTGGGAGGGGGGGCTCTGAATTCTACAAGCATGCCATTGTTTTAAAGGGAAGGGCTTGAGTTTATTGTTTTCTTACTATAGAAAATAATAAAGTAAATTTCTTTTTTGAAAAGATAGGCATAAGATCTGCAAAAAAAACTGGCAGGAGGGACAAGTTATTGCTATGTTGAAAGGAGATTAGTAGCAATTGTTCCCTTCAATCTCATTTTAGGAAAAACTGTCATTCATTCATTCTCTCTTTCTTTTTCCCCAGCTACTAGGAAATCTTCCTTGATGAGTTTTTCTCCTCACTAAAAGTTCATTTCCAAAGATGCCTGGGAAACATCCACAACTAAATACTGTATTAACATAATCCTTTTAAGAAGAAAAATATTTATCTTCCTTCCATTTACAGAAAGAAAGCAGCCCAGTAAGAATCAAAGAAGGACATGGAGAAAAAATTTGCCTGATTTGTGTAGCTTTGTGGTTGGATGATCAACACAGTTTCTAGAGAGCTAGAATCCAGAAAAGCTTCTTACATGAAGTAAGGGAAGGATTGCCTCCATATAAGTTCACTAATCCAACAGCATTTCTCAACGATTTTGTACAAATATTGTTCTTCATCAACCAGGTAAGAAGATACCATAGAGTCTATTATTTCCCTCAACATCTTATCTTTGAACACAAATCTGTAATTCTGTGTATGTCAAAAGTGGGAATATTAGGAAATATGTGACTGGACTATATACTTTTTTTTGGTATTTCTTTTTTTCTTTTCATCTCATTTATTTATTTCACTGAGCTGGGTCTTGCTCTCTCTAGTTGCGGTGACTAGGCTACTCTAGTTGCAGTGGGCTGGCTTCTCAGAGCATGGGGTCTAGGTGCTGTGGCTTCAGTAATTGTGCTTCAGGGGCTTAGTTGCCCTGGGGTCTTCCTGGACCAGGGACAGGTTCTTTATCACTGCACCACCCCAGGGAAGTCCCTTTTTTGTATTTCTCTTTCATATTATTACTTATTTGATTCACTAGCTTCTGTACTGTTACCTTGCATGCTTTAGATTTTACAGTTTTAAGAATCAACATATCTAAGCTATGTTATGGATCTTATTGTTGTTGAAAATTCAATTAACAATCAAGGGGAAAAAAAGAGCATTTCACTCAAGCCAGGCTGAGGAGTATAACTCAGGAGACAGACTTGCAGAAGTTCTGAGAATTACTCTGCCTGTTAGAAGTGGAAGGCACAGTCACAAACCTTTCAAGACAAAGTAACAGACATTAAAACTATATATTGATATTTTATATAAAGTTCACCAAAGATATATAGTCCAGGTGAAAAATGAAAGTGTTAGTCACCCAGTCATGTCTGACTCTGCGATCCCATGGAATATAGCCTGCCAGGATTCTCTGTCCATGGAATCTCCAGTCAAGAATATTGGAGTGGGTTGCCATTCACTTCTCCAGGGGATCTTCCCAACCCAGAGACTGAACCCAGGTCTCCCACATTGCAGGCAGATCCTCTCCCATCTGAGGGACAGTAGGAGAACCCCATTCTTTTAACACTAGAAGTGTAGCCCTTTAAAGAAGAGTGTTCTTTCCCAGCTCTGTATCGGGGTGTCATGATGACTTGCTGCTCATTTTGTGTGTTGTTACCTAGACTATGAGCGTCCTGGTGGCTCAGAATCCACCTGCAATGTGGGAGACCTGGGGTTCGATCCCTGGATCGGGAAGATCCCTGGAGAAGGGAATGGCAACCCACTCCAGTGTTCTTACCTAGAGAATTCCATGGACAGAGGNTTTTTTTTTTTTTTTTTTTTTTTTTTTTTTTTTTTTTTTGCCTAAGATTTATGTGAAATTCCTTGAAATCACTCTGGATTATTAAACTCACATCTACTAGCCAGCAGTATTTTGACTTGAGATTTTGTCACTATGACTTGAGACTTTGCCTTTCAGTCTATAAACATATTTTCAATACTGTGAATACCACATCTGAGTGCATTCTTGGGTTATTCTGTTGCTTATGTATTAACATTTGTTTTAAGTAGCAAGGGGCAGTTATGAACAACACAGACATCCTTCCTACTTTTATGAAGATTATAGTCAGGGAGCAAGGAATTGAGTAAAAGCTATAGGAATTCTAGTTACAATTTGGATCAGTGTAAGGGGGGGAAAAGGAATGTACTAAAGGAATACATAATGAAGTATAAACTTAAGGCAGTGGCATAAGGGAGTGGCATCTGAAGACAGATTTGAAGGATAAATAGGGTGGGGTGGGTGGAGATCCTGAGGTGGGAGAGAGCTTTGATACTCTTCAGTACATGGCTGAAAAAGCCATTGAATCAAACAGAGCAAGAAAACAAAAGTATAATGAGGTAAGTAAGGCTGAACTGGCTTCCTTGGTGGCTCAGTGGTAAAGAATCCTGCCAATGAAGGAGACTTAGGTTTGATCCCCATGTCGGGGAAGATACCTTGGAGAAGGAAATGGCAGCCCACTTCAGTATTCTTGCCTGGGAAATCCCAAGGACACAGGAGTCTGATAGCTACAGTCAATGGAGTTGCAAAAGAGTTGAACACGACTAAATATCACCAACAAAGGCCTAAATATTCAGAGTTTTGTTAGACTCAAAAAGTATTTTAATCTTGACTATGTATTCATACTTCTTTGCTACTTTTGAAAAATTATCTATTGGTATAATAGTTTTTCTTTCTTATAAGGTCCCCTACAGATATCATCTTATGCACCGTTTTCTTTTCAATACTATAATTTTGTTTCCTTCTCTTTCCCACCGCCATTTTTATAGATTACATCAGCTTGGACCTCCCAAGAGAATTGCGTGGAAGCGTGACAGTGGCTGTAAGTGAAAGTCGCTCAGTTGTGTCTGACTCTTCGTGACCCCCATGGACTGTAGCCTGCCAGGCTCCTCTCTCCATGTAATTCTGTAGGCAAGAATACTGGAGTGGGTAACTGTTACCCTTCTCCAGGGGATCTTCCCAACCCAGGGATCAAACCCAGGTCTCCTGCATTGCAGGCAGATTCTTTACCATCTGAGACACCAGCAAAGTGATACTGACTATCCTTGATCTTATTTCTGGTTTTAAAGAGAATGCTTCTAGTGATTCCCCATTTACAATGACCTTAGTTATATTTATTTTATTTAGTTATATTTATTTTAATCTTATACTTTCTCAGATTTAATAATATTCCCTTTTATTCACACCTTTCTAAAAGTTTTTATTGTGACAATATGTCACATTGTTTTAGACTTCCTTTAGGTCTTAGGAAACTGTCAACATGTGTTTAGAATAATGTATTTGGTAACTATTGGATTTTGTTTCTGTTAATAAGGTTAATCTTGTTAACTGAGTAGTTCTATTCCTTAATGTCTTTACTGAAACTTTTTTCCCTGCTTAATTTATCCATAAGTGAGATATATGTTCATTGCTTTGTATATATATATATATATATATAATATAAACTGGGGTACACTGATTCATTGCCCTTGTTTCTATCAGTTTTTTAAAGTGATTTTTCAGGTTTTTATTTATGTATTTATTTTTGGCTGAGTTGGATCTTCACGGTTGTTCACTGGCTCTTCTCTAGTTGCAAGGGGCAGGCTTCTCATTGCAGTGGCTTCTCTTGCTGTGGAGCACAGTCTCTGGAGCACGCCGGCTCCAGTAGTTGCAGTGCTAGGTCTCAGTAGTTTGGGCTCACAGGTTCTAGAGTACAGGCTCAATGTTGTGATCTCTGGGACTTGGGATCAAATCAGTGACCCCTGCGTTGCAAGGCGGATTCTTAACCACTGAACCACCAGGGAAGCCCTCTATCTTTTTTTTTTTTTCATTCTAAGACTATCAGTTGTCTACATGTTTCTATTTCATATGTATTATTGAATATTTTTTATTGTGTATTCACTTTTCAAGACACACTAAATGTTTAATATTTTGTCTGATGGCAAATCAAAGCTGTTAATTTTCTCTCACTTTACCATCTTCTACTATTGTATTTTCAAGTTTTCTCTATCATGTACTAGTGTCTCTTATATATCACAAATATATATATACTTTCTTTCTGTTCAACATTAAAAACAAGAAAGCATTTCTTAACTGGTAAATTTAATCCATTTATGTAAATTTTAATTAACCTAAGTCTTTTTAGGTTGGCTTCTTTGAGTCAGCAATAACATTTAAAATCTCTCCATGTCTACTGCTGGCTTAATAGCTTGTTCTATTTAGCACTGCATTATAATTAGTTCTTGATATTTTAATCATTGTTTATCTAACTTTGGGCTCATAGTACTTCTATGCCTTGGTTTCATTTGTTAGTCTTGGAAAAACTCAGAAAATTATTTGAAAAGTTGAGTTTCTACTTCATTTTCTCTCCTCTTCTGCTAAGAATGAATTCCTATGTATTTACACCTTTTGATTATATCCCTAATTCATGTTTTTTTTTCATAACATCTCTTCCAATTCATTTATTTCATTTCAACTATTCTGCTGTTAAACTCATTCACTGAGTTCTTAATTCTAGTTACTCTATTTTAGTTCCAGAATTTTTGTCTTATTCTTTAATAGTTTTAAGTAGTGTGATGAATGTCTCTACTTTAATTCATGGGATATATTAAATGCTGTCATTTTNTTTTTTCATAACATCTCTTCCAATTCATTTATTTCATTTCAACTATTCTGCTGTTAAACTCATTCACTGAGTTCTTAATTCTAGTTACTCTATTTTAGTTCCAGAATTTTTATCTTATTCTTTAATAGTTTTAAGTAGTGTGATGAATGTCTCTACTTTAATTCATGGGATATATTAAATGCTGTCATTTTGAACTTGATGTCTGATAAGTCTACTTTCTGGGTACTCAATTATCCCTACTGTCTACTATTTGTATTTTTCTTTAGTCAAATATTTTCATTTCACAAACTGTAGCAAGAATTTGAGGCTCTGTATGTTAGTTTTGCTTTTGTTAGAGTGCACTAGTAATCCAGCTCATCTTTTTCTACCCAGTAACTGAAGTTTTGAAGTTGGCTTCAGCTCATCTATGTTGGTTCATCTATACTTCAGCTCCCATGTGAAAGCTTGCAGTTTTTACCAAGGTACCTCCTTATCATTAGGACTTGAAGGACTCTGTTGTTGCTGTTTTTCTATTCTATGTTATTCCCTCCTCCAGTCATGTGAATTTGTTAAGCTTTCTCAGTTTCTCTGTATATGTTCGTAGTTTTGGAATGAAAATATTATTTTTAAATTAAATATAATACCAAATATCAGGTGTACCCCTCTGGAATTCATGTAGGCTCCTTGATTCTAATTCTAAGATTCTAACTTTCTGGGTAGGGTTCTAATATTTTTAGAAAAATTTTTTTTCAATATATTTTTTTTTTCATTTTTATTGGAGTATAATTGATTTACAGTGTTGTTTTAGTTTCAGGTGTACAACAACGTGAATCAGTTGTACATACACATATATCCACTCTTTTCTTTTATTTTGGATTATTTTCCCAAATAGGCCTTTACAGAGTAATGAGTAGAGTTCTTTGTCTTATAAAGCAGGCTCTTGTTAGCTATTTGTTCTATATAAATACACACACACACACACATATATACATTAGTGTGTGAACATCAATCCCAATCTCCTAATTTATCCCTCCCTCATACCATGGTAACCATAAGTTTGTTTTCTACATTCAAAACTCTACTTATGTTTGTAAATAAGTTCATTTGTATCCCTTTTGTTTAGACTCCACATATAAGAAGCATCATATAATGTTTGTTTTTCTGTCTGACTTACTTCACAAAGTATGAAAATCTCTAGGTCCATCTACATTTTGCAAATGGGCTTATTTTGTTCTTTTTATGGCTGAGTAATATTCCAATATACATATATACTCCAAAATACATATGTATTCCAATATATGGCTATTGCAAAGAGTGCTTCAATGAGCATTGAGATATATCTATCATTTGAAATGATGGTTTTCTCCGGGTGTATGCCCAGGAGTAGGATTGCTGGGTCATGTGGTATTTCTATAAAACTCTTAAGTCTAGTGAAAGCTTTTGCATGGCAAAGAACACCATAAACAAAACAAAAAGACAACCTTCAGAATGGAAGAAAACATTTTCAAATAAAGCAACTGGTAAGGGAATAGTCTCCAAAATATACAAACAGCTCATGCAGTTCAATATCAAAAAAACAAAAAGCAAATAACCAAATCAAAAAATAGGCAGAAAGTTTAAATAGATATCTCTACAAAGAAGACATACAGATGGCCAAAAAGCACATGGAAAGATGATCAACATCACTAATTATTAGAGAAATGTCAATCAAAACTACAAAGAGGTATCACCTCACATCACCAAATTAAGGAACATCTATATTTGCTCCTATGATATCTTCTAGAAATNCCAGATCTATGATGTAGTTTAAGTTAATTTTTGTGAAAGGTGTAAGATCTGTGTTTAGATTTTTTTTTTTTTGGTATGTGCTATCTTTTCTTCCTGCACCATTTGTAAAAAAACATGCATTTCCCCCCTCATTTGTATTGGCTTAATTCCTCTGAATTAAGCCAGTATACAATATAGACCTATATATATATAAACACCTATAAAATATAGACCTATATAAAAATATAGGCCTATATATATATATAAAGAGAGAGCAAATAGATATAATATACAGAAGAGTTATACCACCCTAAAATTATTTAGTGATCACCAGTCATCAATCCCCCACCGTAAACCTCTGAAACCACTACCATCACCATGTGTGTTCAGGCATGTCCAACTCTATGCGACCCCATGGACTGTAACCCGACAGGCTCCTCTGCCATGGATTTTTTCCAGGCAAGAATAATGGAGTGGGTTGCCATTTCCCCCTCCAGGGGATCTTCTCGACCTAGGGATCGAACTGGCATCTTTGCATCTCTTGGATTGGCAGGTGTATTTGATTCTTTACCACTGGTGCCACCTGGGAAGATCAAACTCCTGAAAATGACTAGTTATTTCACCATCTCTATACTTTTGTTTTTCTAGAATGTCTTACAGTTGGACTCATGAAATACATATTCTTCTCAGATTAGTTTCTTTCACTTAGTGATATGTATTCAGGTATACTCCATGTCTCTTTCTAGCTTCATCTCTCATTTCTTTTCAGCAGTGAATAATGTTCCATTGTCTGTAGGTAGTGTAGTTTCTTTATCCAGTCACCTATCTAAAGACATGTTGGTTGCTTTCAAGTTTTGACAATTATGAACAAAGCTGCTAAAGCATCTCTGTGCAGGGTTTTTTTTTTTTTTTTTTTTACGAGTACAGGTTTTCAGCCAATTTGGTTAAATACAAAGAAACATGATTACTGAATAATATTAAGAGGATATTTAGTTTTATAAGAAGGTTCCCTATTAATTGTTCAGAATGCCTGCATCATTGTGCATTCCCATTAACAATGCATCAAACTTTCTGTTTTTCCAAATTCTCTCCAGGATTTGGTAATGTCACTGTTTGGGATTTTGGACATTCCAATACATGTACCATGGTATCTCATTGGTATTTTAAAGTCCTTTCCTTTTCAGGAATTTTAATTTTTTAAATTTTGTTTCATTTTCACTTATTATTTGCCCCCTGAGGGGGCAACCAGTCTTTTGTTTTGTTCATTTATATGTAAAACAACCTGTGGTAAGACTGATTGGAAAGCATGTTGGGAAGGCGCCTGAGGATTTTTAATTATGCAAAAGAAGCTTCATAAGGTTCAATAAGAGTCTCAACTCAGACGTTGGGCCAATTTTCATTTACATTCTTCAGGGTAAATGAAATGATAGAAGGACACATCTCAAGCAGGGTATGCTTCTCTCATGTATCACATAGGAGAACTTTCCTTTTCTTTCTCCACAGAAAGATAGAATTGTACACTGTAAGACTTCAGAAATAACTCACCTGCTGAATCTTGGGAGTGACGAAGCTGAAAATTCTGCTGAGGTGTCTGAACTGCTGGGACCATTTAAGTGTCCCAAAGACCTAGAAATGACGATGCCTAAGAGTCAAGATGACTGGTCCAAGGAAGACATTGTGCAGTTATTGGAATGTATGGAGAAAAACATTCCACCCAATGATAGGCACACATTCAAAAAAACTCAGTCAGTGATGGACTGGGGTAAAGTAGCTTTTAAAGATTTTTCTGGGGAAATGTGCAAACTCAAATGGTTAGAGGTTTCTTATAACTTGAGAAAGTTTCGCACTTTGAAAGAATTAGTCCTGGAAGCTAAGGAAAATGTTAACAATTCCAAAAGCAGAAAACACAAGAAACATCCTGATCTACCCAAGAAGCCCCTGACAGCTTACCTCCGCTTTTTTAAAGAGATGAGACCTCAGTACCTCCAAAAACACCCCAAGATGAGCAACCAGGAGCTGACCAAGGTTCTGTCTGAGGAATACAGGAAGCTGCCGGAACAGATCAAGTTGAAATACAGTCAAGATTTCCAGAAAGAGAAACAGGAGTTTCAGGAGAAAATGGCTCTGTTCAGAGAACAGCACCCTGATCTAGTACAAAACTCCAAGAAACCTGATGTCCCCAAAGAAAGTCAAAGCAAAGTGCCAAAGAAGTTTCAGGAAAACGTGCAAAAAGTAAAGTCTCCTTCAGAAAACAAATTATCCATGGAAAGGAAATTCCACGGAGAGCCCAAGAAACCCCCGATGAATGGCTATCACAAGTTCCACCAGGATCTCTGGTCGAGCAGGGAGCTGAAAGTGGTGCCCCCAAGGGAGCGCATGGTGGAGATCAGTAGACTCTGGCACCGCGTCCCCCAAGACCAGAAGGAGCTTTATAAGAAGCAGGCAGAGGAACTGCAGACACAGTACAAGGTGGACCTTGATCTCTGGCTCAGGACTCTGTCTCCTGAAGAATACACTGCCTACAGAGAGGCGACCTGTGCTAAGCGTAAGAACATGAGCGTGACGGGGGACCCAAACCCGAAGATTAGAAGGATGGATCTGCAGTCCCCATCACCAGGAAATCTGCAAGGAAGGCTTAGAGAGGACCCGGGGCTTCAGGCTGCAGAGTCAGAATCATCAGACACGATTGGAGAACATTCTCCTGCCTCAGGGAGATCAGAAGGAAATGAGGAAGAGGCAGAGGAGGATGCCACTAACTCCTCAGGCCAGTGCAGAGAAGAAGACTGTAAATTTGAAAGCAGTGGGGATGAAGATGAAGATTGTGATGGTGAGAGCACTGTCTCTAACTCACCTTCCTAAGGGGACTCCTCTGACTCAGACTCCAAAATTAATTTTTTAGCCCTAAATGGTGGAACAAAGGACTTTCCAGCAAAACTAGGGAATCTATGTCAAAGGGAGTGTGGAGTCTCCTCTTTGCCTGTTTCCCTCCCTCTTTTCCTTCCTTCCTTCTTTGTCTCCTTCCTTTCCCTTTCTCCTCCATCTAAAGGAGGATAGGTTGGGAAGAAGAGAACCTGAGAAGCATTTACTGCATCAAGTCATATACATGAGAGGAGTGGACACTGCTGGGAGAATAACTGTAAATATGAACTAGCGTTGCTCCAACCTCCAATACCACCCATCCCTCCTGCTGTGAACCAGGATAGATTTGAAAATCTGTTTAAGGTTAATGCCCTCTCATTATTCTTTCTGTTTTTACCCCTAAAAGTTCCTGGCTTCTTTCATTTTTTCTTTTCATGAAAACTTGCATTTACTAAGTAGTTGTATCTTTTATATATATATATAAATAGGTTTGAGTGTTAATTTTGTTGCTAGAAATCTTAGAGGTTTATTTTATTGTTCATAACTGTGTTTCTCAGTAAACAATTATAATACCAGAAATAATGATAATATTTACACTTGTTATAACTTGTCCTCTTGCGGCTGGAGAAGCTTAAGATGCTCGATTGCAGCCCGTCCTGTCCTCCTTCCAAAGAATCCTGCGTGAGTACCCCGGCACGTGCAGGCTGGGCAGAGGATATGGGCCGCTGGACTGCAGGAGATCTCCCAGGTCTGTTGGCTGCGCCGGCAATGCGACCCCTGCCTTCCCAGCCTCCTAGCCACACAGCTCAGCTGCGTACCCTGCCGGGCCTGGCCTGTATCTCTGCCAACGGCATGGACAGTGCTGAAGCCCAGTTCACCACAGCTTTGAGGCTCCCCAGTGACTGGGAGCTGTGGGCCTTCATCGTCACCAACCTGGTGAGCGGGTATATAAAGGAGGGAAACAGACCCCCAGAGGGAACCGAACAGTTCGCTGGAGAGGGTCAGTCCAGACCACAGCCTGGCTGCCAGCGCCTACTACCTCTGAGTGTGTGGCTTTTCTACCTGTGTGTGCTCTTCTCCTTCCTCCAGAGCCGATACAAGGAGGTCAGACACGCTCTGCATCATGTTTATCTATGTTTAAGCCTTTCTTTGCTTCTAGGGCACTTTGTATGTAGAGCAGATTAAATAAGAACCTTAACAGTTAGCACCTGTCTTGATATGAAAGTGCTTGTGGTGACCATTCTGTTATCTGCATACATACATGTAAAGCTAGGGATAAGCTCTCAAGTGTACAGTTAGAAGTTCAGTCTCTGCCTGTGTGCTCAGACACTCAGTTGTGTCCAACTCTTTGTGACCCTGTGGACTGTAGCCCGTGAGGATCCTCTGGAATTTTTCAGGAAGAATACTGGAGTGGGTTGCTTTTTCCTCTTCCAGTTGACCTTCCCGATCCAGGGATCGAACCCATGTCTCCTGCATTGGCAAGTGGATTCTTTACCACTCAGCCACCTGGGAAGCCCCCCCCCCCAAAATTCAGTACTTGATACTTAATATTCCACTCTAGCTTCACGGAGGCCAACCCAAGTGTACATGCTTGCATGCATTTGTGTGAACTTTGAGCCTTTTCTTCACCTTTCAGTTATGTAAAGCGGTCGTAAATACCGTCCAATGAGTCCCAGTTCAGTGCCTCACAGTTTTTTAATCATAAGAATTTCAAACAGACAGCAAGCAAGCCCCCAGGGAGCCATTACAGCTAGTCTCATACAGCTAAAGTGAGGCGAAAGTCGCTCAGTCATGTCTGACTCTTTGCGACCCCATGGACTGTAGCCCACCAGGCTCTTCTGCCCATGGAATTCTCCAGACCAGGATACTGGAGTGCGTAGCTGTTCCCTTCACTAAGTGTTTAGGAAAAACAGATAAATAAAACTCCAAAACTTTACAGGAATGTGAGGAAGCGGCAGAAAGATCCCTGTGGGCAGGTGAACCGTTGAGAGCTAATCGGGCCCTTTGCGTGCACCTCCCACTTCTTCCAATTGGTTGGGGTGGCCCTCAGGGCCTGCAGTTCTGGGGGTGCTGGTCCAGGAGGTGTCACGCTCCGTCGACACAGACCCAGAGCTGCCCCCCGCCCCGCCTTGTTGAGTCCTGACAGTCACCATAGTGAGGCCAGGGCCCCCCTCTGGGGCCAGGACTCGTCCAACTTACTGGGAATACAGACAGGGAAACTGGAAAGGGCTGCCTGATGCAGCGGGTAAATCTGCTCGCTGCATTGTTTTTGTCTCCTTAAAGGTTTTTTAAAATAAGTATTGGGTTGGCCAAAAAGTTCATTTGGGTTTTTCCATGACAGCTTATGGAAAAGCCTGAACAAATCTTTTGGCCAACCCGATATGTTTGGCATTGTTATTGCTGTTCACTCACTGTGGTGCTTCTTTGTGACCCCGTGGACTGCAGCACGCCAGGCTTCCCTATCCTTCACTATCTCCTGGAATTTGCTCAAATTCATGTCCACTGAGTCACGTTTGGAAAGCTGTCTTTTAATGGGTTTGTAATGTCTTATGTTTGTAGCAGACTGTATCTGCAGCTGGTGCTTTTAATTAGGGAAAAAATTATAAATACAAAACATTGTTTAAAAGATATAACCATAGAACACAACTTCTCACTTGTGGATTTTTTTCTGTGTATTCCAAGTAAGATAACTTGAAGCAGCCATTGGAAAAATAAAATGAAATACTTCCTCCCCGCCCCCCTCCCCAATTCTTATAGGTGCTTTGGGTGTTGTAAATAGAAAAACACACTTTCATTCTCATGGACATGAGGAAATATCTGTACTTAAATGAATTCTAAATGGTTGAAATCCTGAATGTATTTGGAAAACCATGCTGCAAATTATATAATTTTCTTCTCTGCTCAATATGAAATTTGTAAAATTAGCACCAAAGGCATGATTCTTTTTATTTCAAATAGCAGGTAATACAGGAGACTCCAGTTACTAAGATGTAGTAAGATTTACTGAAGAAGAAAAGTTAAAATTTTACGTAACCTCCTTCTCCTTCTGCCTCTGTAACTCAGCTGGCTACTTGCAAAGTCTAGATCACGTAGGTCACATAGTCTCAGAAAGTGGGAACATGCAATACTAGGAACTGGAGTTTATCTCACTCACCCTTGTCCTGCTCTTTGCAATCACCCAGCCCCTGCAACCCTGCTTAATCATGCCTGTCCAGGTCAGACATCCCCCTCCCCATGTTGACCATTATTCCCGTGCATGAAACCCCTAGTTTAAACCAGCCTATTAACAGCTAGTGTTGCCCACTACAGTCTGTCTATAAACACTCTGTAATCCCTTTGTTTGGGGCTCAGAGCTTGGAGTGTTAACTCCTCTGGACCCACCGGCATAATAAACCTGATTCTCCAACTCTCCCAGTGTGGTGCTTGGTTTCTCGAGTGCTGGTTTCCACAACATTTCAACATGAGCTAGAGAGTAAGTTTAAGTAACCAGTACTGAAAAACTTATCAATATATATTTAGAAAGTATCTTTGGTGTTAGAAATACAATGGTGAATATGTAATTCAGTGTGGGGCAAAAATATTTAAATAAAAGTGCTCTATTGCATGATTGGAAAATGGGAACAGACAATGCTCCCTGCCATACTATCCCATCCTTCATGCCCAGGTGATAATCCTAAATTAAAATAAAATAAAAGTGTAACATACCACCAGTATGATTGCAATGCCCACAGTCACCCCCACACTTATAATATCTACGCTTAACAGAGCCTCCAACATACAAATACACTTAAGCTCAGTGTGTGTAATCTAATTAGTTTCTGACATCCACTTTTAAATCTTGAAAACTTAAACTTTTAGACTCTAGTCCCTAACTTTTACTGCAAAACTCCTTTCCAATAAGGAGTGTTTATTTATTAAATTCTTCAGGCAAAGATTTCTCCAGTGTCCCTCATGAAGCACTTTCTTTTTATTATTGTACAAAAAAAGGACCTACTAATTCTGGATTCTCTGAAAGAAATGCTTATCCCAGTCTCCAGGGTCATTAGAGATTTCCCTGCAAATCGGTTTTCTCCTGGAAGGTGAATAGATGCATAGGACAGAGTAGTTTGTGAGGAAGGAGGAGAAGGTTGGAGGCTGACCTGGATCTGGTTAGGGACCAGGTCTGTCCATGTTGTTTAAGCCCTGGCAGGCAGGAAATGGGAAGCACAAGGTCATATTTTGTTGAGTCCAGCAAGCTCACAACACAGGTGAATATATTTCATATATTCCAGACAAACGGCTATAAAGGAAAATTTCACTGTCAAGATGATAGTAGAAACCAACAAAAGTTTGCAGTTGACACCTGCTTTATAACATAGCAGTAAAAAGGAGGGTCCATTACAGTAGAAAGAGCCTAAAGACAATGAAGTATTCTTTTGCAGCTCCCTCAGAGGAGTCTTGAGCATCCCGTCTGGGCCGTGGCTCAGCCTCCTCACCTGTGGCCAGTGCAGATGAAGGGCCTGACAGGGAAAGTGCACACGCCATCATCGTATCTCCAAAGGAGGGAGTGCTTGGCAACATCCACAAAGCTAATACTCCCACTGTCACAATCAAGGAACACCCCAACCCTGCCCTGAGGTCTCTCTATGTACAGAGGTGTGGTGGGGGTGGTGGTCCAGAGTTGGTAATGGTCATCCCGTTTCACACACAGAAGGAGAAACTTGTCTCTGTTGGGCTCGTCCAGTATGCTGTCGTCCTTCCTTATCCAGGAATCCTTACAGATGCCTACAGCCTAGTCCCAAGAGCTGTCCACGAGCATCTCCCAGTACCGTTTGCCAGAGGTGAAGTTTTGGGCTCCCCATGCAGCAAAATACTTGGATGTTCCACCATCCAAAAATGCATGGAGGCTGGGATGTTCATACGTCAGATGTCTTGCATCATCGAACAGCCTGATGTACTGACTGCTTACTTCATTATTGAATGAAAAGTTGACTGTGGAGAGATGAGAAAAAATGCCAGTCAAAATTAATATTAAAATAAAATGATCTATGAGAGAAGAGGGTTTATCTAGAGTCTGGGTGAAAAGTCTTAAGGTTATTGGAAATGTAGTTAAAACATATTATACATTCAATTGCTAAGAAACTTCCTCCATGTAACTGCACTTAGACTCTGAAACTGGAATATCCTGGATTAATAACCAATTTTCAGTGAACAAGTGACATGGTACACGATGATATTTCTAGGGACCCAGGAGCATTTTTGGAGTATGTCCATTTCTTCATTATACAGATTATTCAAATTTATAAGTAATTGCTGAGGCATGAATCGCATTAGCCCCTGCACCAGCCTGTGTGTATCCTATAGAGGATTTTAGTGACTGTGACCACACATGTCTATACGCGCCTATTTGCAGGCTGTTCTGCACAGGCTGAGAGATGAAGAGGGAAAGACTGTCTGCAGAAACCAACACTGAGGGACCCTGCAGGGAAGATGCACCAGTGGGGTGACACTCACCCTGGAAGCAATGGAGCCAGTCCATCAGCCTGGCCATGGGTCGCGCGGGGAGTTCTGGGAGCAGACACTGAGGCCCGTGCAGCTGTGCCGACTCACTCCTGTA